GTGGGGGAGGCGAGGTGACGGGGCGGGGCGTGAGGGGAGAGGGAACGACAGGAGGGGACCGGACCATACAGTATCGGGATGGACACCTGGGGGTGTTGTTTTTTTAGCGCAACCCCCAAACAGGCGCGGCACGATTAGTATCCATAGAAGCCAATGCCGCCATGTGTATGTTTCGTGATGCATTCTTCGTCGATGTCCGTTGTACCCATTCTTGTCTTCTGCTGGACCACTTTCGTAGTTTGTTCATGTTTAGTCGGGTTATCGCATCGCTTGTGGGGCTTAGAGGAGGGAGGAATGCTGCAAGAAAACGGGGGAAACTAGACGGGGGTCAAGATCTCCTGTTTTGGCAACAGCACCCAGCCTCTCAGTGTTTGGCATAATATAAATGTGAGGGTTCTACAGGCAAATTTCAACGTCTCGCGAGTTTTGGGCTTGAAACAAGGAACGGGGAGCGAGGCCGAGCAAGGTTGTTTGTTTTGGTCCTCTTATCTTCATTCGGGGCGTTCTTGCACAGTTATTGCGTCGATTACGCCCCTTGCGACGAGATGGCAATTGGGAGCGAATCGGACCACTGCTGTTGTGTGCAGGCTATCGGCTCCGTCTAAGTCCGATTCCCGTATTCCTCTCTCTCCCAGTCGCTCGCTATCGCTCGCTCCCAGGCAACACGAAACAAGAGGGGACGCTTGTGTCCTGCTTGCTATTGCTAGCGACCGACGTATGTGAACGCGGAGTGCGAAAGTGTCCGTGTATTTCTGCAAAAAAAAAAAACGCCGACCAGGTGTCGTCTTGGAGCATGGCGTAGTCGAAGGGGCCATGCACCATGACGCCCTCTATCACCGAGGCCGCGCCAAAAACAAACGCAGCTGCAGCTACCCGCCCGCCCATTTTTATGTCGGGAGTACATGTGAAGACAGACGCGTTTTGCAACGAATTTAACAGGCCGGGTGAGGTTTTTTAGCCAGACCCAGCCAGACCCTTGAAGCCCGCCTTGCTTTTCTTCGAAACTGGAGGGTGAGCCCCGGGCGAAGAGAACCGCTCGCCGTGTGTCACCATAGACAACATACTATTTTACCTTTGACGACGCATTCGGCGCAAATGTCAAATATTTTTTTTCAACACCACCAGCGAGGATGCGCATAAAACCTGCAAAGGGCACACAACAGAGGGGAGTCGGAGCACGCTCCCCGTCGTACCAAAACCGATGTAGGGTACTAGCATGAAAAAAACAACACAAAAATGGCCTGCAGGATATAACGGCAATCGCCCCTCTGCTTTCCTGCCGAATTTCTAGACCCCCCCCCCCTCGAAGTCGCTGCTGCCGGAGAATCATGCTTGTCGGTGGTGGTATTTCGTTGTGGCTGTCTTCGGCCACGCTGAAACCGGTTATCCTCCCTGTCTGGGAGGCATACCCCCGACAGGGGGTAATTTCCATTGGTGCCACTGTCCAACCGGGGGAAAACAAGCAAAACGAACGCTAGGGTGGCCTTTTTTCTGCAGCCAAGTCCCGTCGAATTAACTCGTTGCCCAAGCACACATGCGATTTTAGCAACGGGAACCCCCCCCCCCATGATGGGTTCGATTCCAAGAGGACACATCCCACATTGCTACCTTTCGTACATAAATCCACATCCTGTAGTATCACGTCACGACGGTTCTCTCCATGAGACCCACAAGGCACAGAGAGAAAAAAAACACTCCACGTCATCAGTCAACATCACCAAAAACGATACTAGAACACAGTACAAAGAAAGACAGCACCACGAACATGTAAAAAAAATCGTGCACAATTGAAAAGACTAGATTGGAATAGATGGTGGCGCGCGAAAAGAGTCGGCCGATTGTGTCGTGACAAGAAAAAAACAATTAAATCGTAGAAAATCCTTCCCAAGCGCTCTGTCGACTTGCTTTTTGAAAGCCGCGAGCCCTCGGCATCGGCACTCTTGAGGAAGGAACGCAACCACATCGCTTGCGGGACCCCCCCCCCCCCTCCCCCCTCCCGGATATACCGGCCTACTATACCCCTCTGTGTTCCGCGTATTTCTGCACTGCCTCCTCCCCCTCCGACGACTTCAGCGCATCTTCGTGCTGCTGACGCTCGCGGCGCCAACCCCTGCTGCTGCTGCCGCCACCCCTCGACTCCTGCCACCTCCGATACCGGTATCACCGCGGGTGGCGGACCGACCTCTCGTTACCGCCGGACGCCGGGCGGGGGCGTGGCCGCCGCTGCCGCTCCCCCCGCCAGCGGCGGCGGCGGCGG